CTGGGGCTTCATTTGCTGAGAGCACAGAACAGCTTCTCCTGCTAGGAATTTTGGCTCCTGAAGTGCCTGCTCCTCACTGGAGCAGGATGGACTGCTCCACTCTCTGGTCCAAAAGGCAGAACCCCTCCCACCTCAGAAAAAGGCACTGATTGGCCTAATGGAGGGGGAGACATTTTTGGTAAGAGAGGTGCTGTGCCCCTAAAAGAGGAGGAGTAACCACATTGTGTTGACTACCCTGTGTAATTGAGGAGCTGGTTTGTGTCAATTCCTAGGTGCTTCAGACAATGGGGGAAATTGTGGAGAATCCAGGGAGGTACACAGACTTAGAACTTAAACTGGAGCTTCAAAGGAGAGGAAGGGTTTGGATAGATGTGGAGAACGTTAAAACTAGATAAGGCAGAAGCTTGCCAGAAGAGCAGGAACACTCAAGGAAAGACTGTGGTTGGCCATTCTGAGAAATCCTTCAACTTGAGAACTTGTAGGACATCGGTCACACTTTTTTTTTTTTTTTTTGAGACAGAGTCTCATTCTGTCACCAGGCTGGAGTGCAGTGGTGCAATCTCTGCTCACTGCAATTTCTGCCTTCTGGGTTCAAGCGATTCTCCTGCCTCAGCCTCCCAAGTAGCTGGGACTACAGGCATGTACCACCACACCCAGCTAATTTTTTGTATTTTTTTTTTTGTAGAGATGGGGTTTTACCATGTTGGCCAGGATGGTTTCAATCTCTTAATCCGCCCGTCTCAGCCTCCCAAAGTGCTGAGATTACAGACGTGAGCCACCATACCCGGCGGTCACAGCTTTTTGACAAACCTGTGGGTGACGGGCAGATGCCTGGTCTACCAGTACCTGACTGACTCAGAAGAACCACAGGGGCCATAAAACACATGGCTGGAGCAAATCATCCACCCAAAGAGGACTCTGCTCAAGCAGATCTTCCCCCAGCACCACCCCAGCACACTATCACAATCCATCATAATCTGGAATGGGATTCAGTCACCCCTTTTTTTCTAACTTGACACCCTCTCTACCAAGTCAAGCATGGGCCTAGGAGGACCAGTAAAACTGCTGTATCCACTCCCAGCCTCCAGACACCTCTGGGACATCAGGGTTGCTCTCATTTCGGACCTGCCCCACTCCCTCCCAGAGTGGTCCTAGATAATCCCACAGCAGCACTCCTTAAACCCTGCATCCACCTACCTCCCACCCACACATGGTCCCCTCCTCCATCAGTCAATGGGACCTCTAAGAACTGTCCAGCTGCTGCCTCTCCAAGCTGCAGCCACCATTTGTATTCTGAAGAGAACAGCTTAAAACCCTCCATGGCCACACAGCCTTCTGTCTACTGCACAGACTGATCATTCTCAGACTGGTGTCTTAATAGGTCTGAGAGAGATGCTTTCTTAACTCTTCCTCCTCCAGGCAACATGGCTGGATGGCTGGGTCCCCTAACACCATGGTCATCATGAGAACAACTGGCTACTCTTTCCACCCAGAAAACTTTGGTTCTAATCTACTATGGCCCTGCCTCTATCAGTACAACTATTGTCTCTGTCTCAACAGATTGCTTACGTGTGTGTGTGTGTGTATCTTTTTTTTTTTTGAGATGGAGTCCCAGTCCCACTCTGTCGCCCAGGCTGCAGTGCAGTGGCATGATCTCAACTCACTACAACCTCTGCCTTCCAGGTTCAAGCTATTCTCTTGCCTTAGCCTCTGGAGTAGCTGAGATTACAGGCACGCGCTACCATGTCCAACTAATTTTTTTGTATTTTTACTAGAGATGGGGTTTCACCATGTTGGCCAAGCTGGTCTCGAACTCCTGACCTCAGGTGATCCACTGCCTCGGCCTCCCAAAGCATGCTGGGATTACAGGCATGAGCCACCTCGCCCAGCCAGATTGCTAATGTTTAGAAGCTACTTGGGGACCTCCAGAAATCTGACTCTAAGAACTATCCACCCAAGAAATCTGTAGGCCTACCACCTGACTTTCAAGGTACCAGATGTCATCAGCCTGTGGCCTTCTTGGCTACTAATTCCCAATCACCTAAATTCACCCCGTCTTTCAGTGACTGCTGTTCTGGGTTGGTGCCAACGCCCTTCCCTTCCCTCCAGCTCACATGTGGATACACAAGCACACACCGCACGTACTCTAGCCCTCATCCAACAGACACCGTTCTGTCAGAACCTCAGCCAGCTCCTATCCCTGGTTCTCCCCTGTCCAAAAACGTCGAGAATATGCCCTCAGCTAGAAGAAGCCAGAGAAATCTCACTATACCCTGCTGGAGGGGATGGGCAGGGGCTGCTCTCCCCCAGCCCTGTGAATTATAACTAGACCCTCTCAAGCATAAGTCATAGACAACACAAAAAAGTCAGCCACAGGGGGGCAGCCCTTGTGTCTACTAGTGAATTTTCCCAAGATAGATCTGCCTACCTGCTCCACCTATTTCTTCTTCCTTTAACTCCCAGATTGATTTCCTGGTTTTCTTCCGTGGCAGATCATATTTTTTGATACTCATATAATTTTTTTAAAATCCTCCTTATCGACCTTGCTCCCTGCCTGTCTTCCCATCATCCAGTTCTGCAAACACCCTTCACATCTACCATCCCACCTACTTCACCGAGGGAGCAGGGTAACTTCTTTACAACAGCACTTCTCAAAACTTTCATATGCACAGGAATCACCCAGGGACCTAGTTAAAATGCATATTCAAATACAGAAGTTTAATTTTTTCAGACGGAGTTTCACTCTTGTTGCACAGGCTGGAGTGCAATGGTGGAGTTTTGGCTCACTGCAACCTCCGCTTCCCGGGTTCAAGAGATTCTCCTGCCTCAGCCTCCCAAGTAGCTGAGATTACAGGTGCCTGCCACCACACCCGGCAAATTTTTGTATTTTTAGTAGAGAGGGGGTTTCACCACGTTGGCCAGGCTGGGTCTGTCACCCCATTCTCTTGGCCACTCCTGACCTCAGGTGATCTGCCCACCTTGGCCTCCCAAAGTGCTAAGATTACAGATGTAAGCCATCACCCCTGGCCCGATTCAGAAGTTTTAGAGTGTGGTCCAGGATTCTGCAGTTCCATCAAGCTCCCAAGGGATGCAGAAAGTGCTGGACAGGAGGGATGCTGCAGGATTGCACTGGGAGTAGCCCGTCTAATGTGTAACACAGTCCTATAACGTCTCTCCCACCTTTCACTGCCACTCATGGGGAGGGCAGTGCTCGAGATGGGTGGCACTTAGCAAGTGTGTACCAGTGTGAACCTTGGGACAGGGCCGTGTACCAGTGTGAACCTTGTGCCACTCTCTCACAAAACTGCGGCAACTGGTGGGGCACAAGACTTGCTTCTTAGAACTAGTTCCCACTCAGCAGTTCCAGAAGTACAAAGTGGGTTCTATAGCTCTGGGAATTCCCTGCACAACCTTTCAGTCTTCCTCACTCCCACCATCTTGCAGGTTCACAGTTTAGGGCCTGGGTTTGAAACCCGTCTGCCACTCTCTTACGCGTGGCCTTGAGCATGATTCTGAGCCTCCGTTTCCTCCTCTGAATGACGTGAATAGTAAATTAGATACCGTGAACGAATTTCTGTCTATTGTTTGAACTTTTCCTCTTCTACCTGTTCCTCTAAATTAGCCTTGAAGTGGAAATGTGCTTTTTGTCCTTTCTTAGGAATCTTAGCAGTTACTACCACTGTATACAGAAAGATCACAATTTTATTTCATGAAAAAGGCTGGAAGTAAACATAATGAAAGGTTAAAGACTATTGGGGATGCTAAAAATTATTTTCCTCCTAACTTCCGTTTCCCCCCCTCCAAGTTTTCTAATAATATTACTGCCGGGCGTGGTGGTTCATGCCTGTAATCCTACCACTTTGGGAGGCGGAGGTGGGGGGATCACCTAAGGTCGAGTTCGAGGCCAGCCCGACCAAGATGGAGAAACCCCCACTCTCCACTAAAAACACAAAATTAGGCAGGCTTGGTGGTGCATGCCTGTGATCCCAGCTACTCGGTAGGCTGAGGGAGGAGAATCGCTTGAACCGGAAGACGAACCGAGACTGCGCCATTGCTAACCAGCCTGGGCAACAAGAGCGAAACTCCGTCTCGAAAAAATAATAAATTAAAAAATATATATATATACACATACACACACACATATATACATATTACCTTGATAGGTTTAAAAACAAAGTAAAATAAGGGTCATGAAATCAAGCTTCCACCCTCTCCACTGAAAGCAGAACAAGAGAAACAGAAACGCGCCGGACAGGGGCTGGTCACGCGGCAGCCACCCCCTCGCCTCCACCAGATGACGTCAGTCACGTTCTCCTGTCGCCCGCGCCGCCGCTTCCGGGGGTGAGGGGCTCGGCCGCTTTGCTTCCACCAGGCGGCGCCGCAGGACGCTCAGTTGCCGATGCCTCCTGCGCAGCCGCCTTGGCGCACCGGACACGTCACCACCTTCGCGTCTTTTCTGGAGAGCGCGGGAATGCGAGCGCCGGTGGGTGGTGACGTCACCGGGGTCCCCCACCCATGGCTCGCAGGGGCGGGGCCAGAGACGTGGCGGGTTGCGGCCAGCCCGGGGAGGGGCTGGAGAACAGAGCGGGGGGAGGGGGACGAGAACAGAGAGGGGGGAGGGGGACGAGAACAGAGGCGGGGGAGAAGGGGGATGGGGAACCATCGGGACAGGGACGGACGAGATGGGTGGTGGCGAGGCCAGGTCCAGCCAGGGCTGACCTGGCCGCTCCCGCCTCGTGACCCACTGTGGGGCCGCGCTGCGGGAAAGGTGCTGACTAGGCGGGCGCGCTAGCTCGGGGGGGAGGGGCGCGCTCGGTTGGCGGCTGGCAGGGCGCCGACTTCCTGACACCCTGGGCCGCCGCACCCTTGTGCGAGCGGGACCACGCCTGGATCGGGCCCGCGGGTCCTCCAGGACAGCGATGGGGGAGAATTGGAGAACGGGGGATCGGGCCGCACCCGGAGCTCCAGGCCGCGCGGTGCTGCGGGCATAGAGTCGCCGTGCCTTAAGCCAGGCCCCGCCCTACGTGGGCTCCCGTCGCCCACCCGTACCCGGGCCAGGTCGGGGAGGAGGAGCGTGCGCGCCGGGAGGGCGGCCCTTGCCTGCGACTCAGCTCAGGCTCTCCTAACCGCGGTTTACCTCGTTGTACAGCGGGATGGATCCCCTTCGCACACTCTCTGCCTACCACACGGTGGGTGTTGTGTCAAAATACACTAATTCCTTTTTCCCCGTCGGTCCCGAGAGCCTGTCTGGAAGGGCCTGGTTAGTCCTTCAAACAAAAGGCTTTGTGTGTCTTGCGTACTGGCTGTTAGAAGTTTCCCTTTTCTAGGCGTGAGCTCCACACCTACGAGTGGCTTTAGTTAGGAAAAGGTGACAACGGGCTCATCCCTGAACTGATGAGTTGAACCTGGGGCCTGATCAGAAATGAGGGGAGAGGAGTGTTACGAGAATTTTCGCTGTGTTCCTGCACCTGCGTAAGTGCTTATGGCTGGGAGCCCCGTCGAGGGCACAGACTGCCTTGGGGCGCTCTTCTTTCTCCTCTAGCTGCCTCTTCCCAGAATCTGTCACCTCATGACATTGCTGTGGTCAGACGGTCATCGATTCTGTGATGACCTGAACCTTGGGACACGCCAGCCTCCAGGAGCTTATATGAGGCTGGTCTACCAAAGTATACAGTTCAAGGCCATCTCCTGGAAGGAACATGAATGTGTCCTGAAGTGCTTGTGTCATGTGTCAGGGGTTGTGTTAGGCTTTTCACACGAGTGATCTCGTTTGATTCCCACAGTGGTCCTGTGAGCTAGGGGGAATCATCCCTCTCTGTAGATGAGGAAACTGGTTCAGCCGGTTTAAATAACTCACCTCATGTTTCTCAGCGGGGATGTAGTGGTTGTAGGGCTTCGGCAGTGAAGTGTCAGTACCTGGTCAGGCCTTCTCTAAGGTGTGAGACGCTCAGGGCCATCCTGGAGGGTATGTGTGAAGGCATATCACACCTTGGGTTCTTCCCCCGTCACCCCATTCTCTTGGCAGCCCCTGCCATTTGTATCAAGGCTAAACTCAAAAGGCGAAGACGGCAGGGCAATTCCTCCCACCCCCTCACCACACACACACACTCTGCCTTGGTCATGGATGGGTTAATGGAACGACTCCTGTGTATTAGACTTGGGCCTTTTTTTAGCACCATCTGGCAGGAGTCACCTCTCCTCACACCTGCTGCTTCTACAAAACATAGCTCACTTGCCAGTCAACAGTGCAAAAGGCAGAAGTGTGGTGCATGTGTAATTAGGATTCGGTGGACCCTAGACACAATTGTGTTGCCTGTGTTATGTTGCCATTGATAGCCCATAGACACTGCTGAGTTGTATGTGGAACCACAGAAGACAAGAGAAAACCTACAAAAGCCGAAGTCCACTATCCTTTTAAAAAAAATCTTGTTGCCAGGCGCAGTAGCTCATGCTTATAATCCCAGCACTTTGGGAGGCTGAGGTGAGTGGATCACATCAAGAGATCGAGACCATCCTGGCCAACATAGTGAAACTCTGTCTCTACTAAAAATATAAAAATTAGCTGGGCATGGCATCGGGTGCCTGTAGTCCCAGCTACTCAGGATGCTGAGGCAGGAGAATCGCTTGAACCTGGGAGGCGGAGGTTGCAGTGAGCGGAGATTGTGCCACTGCATTCCAGTCCAGCCTGGGTGACACAGCAAGACTCTGTCTCAAAAAAAAAAATCTTGGGAGCCGCAGTGGCTCCAGCCAGTTGTCCTGGCGTTTGAGGAGGTGAGGCTATGAGTTCAAGGCTAACCTGAGCAACATAACAAGCTCTCATTGATTAACAAAAAAAAAAAAAAAAATCTTTTCTACAGCATTGGATAGCGAAATTCCCAGAAGACAAATAAGGACCCAGGCATTTGTCCTTCAAAACCCAGGACTTTGTATATAGATGCTTTTTGGCTTTGAACACGGCAGGTAGCTTCTATGTTTCAGATCAAGAGAGTGGATGTAGGCTAAAGTGGGCAGATCTCGTGAGGTCAGAAGTTCGAGACCAGCCTAGCCAACATGGTGAAACCCTGTTTTTACCAAAAATAAGAACATTAGCCAGTGTGGTGGCACACACTTGTAATTCCAACTACACCGGAGGCCGACGTGGGAGGATGGAGGATTGCTTGAACCCAGAAGGTAAAGGTTGCAGTAAGCCAAGACTGTGCCACTGCACTCCAGCCTGAGCAACAGAGCAAGACTCTGTCTTAAAAAAGAAAAAAAAAAGAGTGGATGAGCTTCATTGACCCAGGGACACTTTATTTTTGTTTTTTAGATCAAGGTCTCTCTCTGTGGCCCAGGCTAAGTGCAGTGGCACAATTATAGCTGTTAACCTCAAACTCCTGGGCTGAAGCTATCCTCCCACCTCAGCTTCCTGAGTAACTAGGACCACAAACATGTGCCACCATGCCCAGCTAATTTTTAAAATTTTTTGTAGAGATGGGGTCTTGCTATGATGCCCAGCCTAGTCCGGAATTCTTGGCCTTGAGTAGTCCTCCAGCCTCAGCCTCCCAGAGCACTAGGATTACAGATGTGAATCCCAGCACCTGGCCCAGGGACACTTTAAATGGGGAGGGAGGCCAGGGAAGGTGGCTAATGCCTATAATCCCAGCAATTTGGGAGGCCAAGGTGGGAGGATTCCTTGAACCCAAGAGTTCCAGACCAGCCTGGGCAACATGGTGAAACCCCATCTCTATTAAAAAAAAAAAAAAAAAAAAAAAAAAAAAGCCCAGGTGTGGTGGCTCACGCCTGTAATCCCAACACTTTGGGAGGCCAAGGCAGGCAGATCACAAGGTCAGGAGTTCAAGACCAGACTGGCCAACATGGTGAAACCCCATCTCTACTAAAAAAATACAAAAATTAGCTGGGCATGGTGGCTTGTGCCTGTAATCCCAGTTACTTGGGAGGCTGAGGTAGGAGAATTGCTTGAACCAGGATGCAGGAGGCGGAGATTGCAGTGAGCTGAGATCAAACCACTACACTCCAGCCTGGGCTACAGAGCCAGACTCCATCTCAAAAAAAAAAAAAAAAAAAAAAGCCAGCTTGGTGATACATACTTGTAGTGCCAGCTACTTGGCAGGCTGAGGATGGGAGGAAAACTTGAGCCCTGGAGGTCAAGGCTGCAGTGAGCTATGATCCGACTCTAGCCTGGGCGAAAGAGAGAGACCATGTCTCTAAAAAAAAAAAAAAAAACAGTGGGGGGAGTGAATTTTTGTATTCCTTTTTTTGCTTACAAAGCAGCCCTTTCTGTCACAACATACTTACTGAAACCTGCAAAGCATGGACCCTTGGGAGCTTATAGTCTATTAGGAGAGTGGCTGAAAAGTGGTTGTAATTTAGGTGAAGTCTAATCAGTTGGGTTATAAACCGGTTTGGCAAACTGAATAGAAGGGGTTTGGCCATGCTTGGAAGTACCTATACCTCCAAATATAACTCTGGCAGGGTCCAGGACTAAGGGGAGAACAGGTGAACTCGGTGAGTTCCTTGGTGAGGCTGCTGCTGCTTTTGCAGGAAAAAAGATCTCCTACCTTAAAGGTGAGACCTGGCCGGGCGCGGTGGCTCACGCCTGTAATCCCAGCACTTTGGGAGGCCGAGGCGGGTGGATCACGAGGTCAAGAGATTGAGACCATCCTAGTCAACATGGTGAAACCCCGTTGCTACTAAAAATAGAAAAAATTAGCTGGGCATGGTGGCGCATGCCTGTAATCCCAGCTACTCAGGAGGCTGAGGCAGGAGAATCGCCTGAACCCAGGAGGCTGAGGTTGCGGTGAGCTGAGATCGCGCCATTGCACTCCAGCCTGGGTAACAAGAGTGAAACTCCGTCTCAAAAAAAAAAAAAAAAAAAGGTGAGACCTGACTTTAGGTTGGTTACTTTTGTTCTAAGTCTGCATTTTACTAAGCAATCCTTAGCCCATGGGGAGATCAGCCAGTCAGGCCAGTGCAGGCATTCCAGCCCACCTTGAATGTCTGTCATTCTTCAGTGTAAGTCAGTAAATTGGCATTTGATTTATATGTCCCTCAACATGTGTGAACTCACTAAATAGGTGTTTGAGAGATAAGTCGCCTCGTAGTGGGCCAGCCTGAAAGTGTAAGTCCCATGTCTGGGTCCTTGTCTAAATACCACGAGATAAGGAGTGAGGAGCTGCTGTAAAGAGAAGGGCGTGGTATAGGAGCCAGCTTTGCTCACATTCAGGAGAATTATATTATCCATACAAGGCAGCAAGTACTAAATTGTAGAAGAGTGATACATGCACTGGATGCTGTGGGTTCAGAGGAGGGTGAGATCACTGTGGGAGGTTAAGGGATGGTGCCACAGAGGAGGCAAGTAGGACTTGCAAAATGGATGTGCTGTCAGTAGGTGGAAATGGAGGAGATGGAGAGGAACTACCCACTGCTTTGGTGGTTCACCTCTGGAGCTTACACAGAACACACAGTCATCTGATCTCTAGCGATTGAACCAATGGAAAAATGTGACAGGAGAAGGAGGTGGTAGGCCTCAGAGACAAGGAAGGAAAAATCAACTATTTATTCACAAATATATTTGTTCAACCTTTATTGAGTATCTCTTATGTGCCAGGCACTGAGTTTGGCCTGGGAATACAGCAACATACGGAACAAACAAAAGCCCTGCCCTCAGAAAGTTTACGTTTTTTTTTTTTTTTTGAGACAGAATATGGCTCTGTTGCCCAGGCTGGAGTGCAGTGGTGGTATCTCAGCTCACTCCAACCCACAGACATGCACCACCATGCCTGGCTAATTTTTTTTTTGTATTTTTAGTAGAGATGGGGTTTCACCATGTTGGCCAGAGGCTGGTCTCAAACTCCTGACCTCAAGTGATCTGCCCACCTCAGCCTCCCAAAGTGCTGAGATTACAGGTGTGAGCCACCGTGTCTGCCCAAAAAGTTTACATTCTAATGAGGAAAGAGAGAGACAAACAATGAATGACTAATGAACAAATGAATAAGCTATCTAGTATGTCAATAGTGAAGAATGCTATAGAGAAAATGAAAACAAGGGGTGGGAGGCAGGAGGAAGTACTGAGGTTTTCCTCCAAATTTTAAATAAATTTTGTGGGAGTGATATAAAAGTAAAAGGGGGCTGGGTGTGATGCCTCACACCTGTAATTCCAGCACTTTGGGAGGCCAAGGTGGGCAGATCACCTTAAATCAGGAGTTAAAGACCAGCCTGGCTAACATGGTAAAACCCGGTCTCTACTAAAAATACAAAAATTAGCCAGGCGTGGTGGCATACGCCTGTAATCCCAGCTACTCAGGAGGCTGAGGCAGGAGAATTGCTTGAATCTGGGAGGCAGAGGTTGCGGTGAGCCAAGATCGTGCCATTGCACTCCAGACTGGGCAACGAGCGAAACTCCTTCTCAAAAAAAAAAGGTAAAAGTGACACACAATCTTTGTGATCATTTTCTGTGAGTTGCGGTAGTTGACCAGGTTGTGTCCTGGGAGATAATACATATTTGTGAATGTGACTCACTCCCTGGGTAAAAATAAGCCAAGATCTCCAAAGGAAGTATTTTTCTCTGAAATCCAGAAAGCCAGTTGCAATGACAGAGGAAAATGGAATTTTACCCTGGCCCCCAAATATAAGCACTATGTAGTTATAAGAAAATAAGGGTTGATATGGTGAGATGTGATAGATCTAAGTACAGAAGAGGAAGGAGCTGAAGGCTCACTTTCTTGGTGCCTTTTCCTGCCCAGGGGGTGGAGGCTGGGCAGGGAGGAGGGGAGGAAGCCAGGTCTTGAGATGGGTGTGGCTATGGAATCTGTGGAGACCATTTGTATTCCCTCAGGAGATTGCCTGTTCACAGATACATGCAGCCTGGAGGGACTGCATGTTGAGGTGTCAGCCTGACCACCTGGCTCTTCATGGCACTATTTTTTGAACCCAGAGTTTCAGAACTACAGTTTATCGTGCCAGAGATGAAATCGGAATACACAAAAAAATGGCATTCTGAAGACATTTTGATGGTTTGTGAGAATCATGGGATAGAAGAGCAGAAGGAAAAAAAAGTTTGTGGTTGAGGAGTGACGATCGAATGTGCAACAGTAGGAATACTACTGTTAACAGATAGTATCCATTGTAACCTGGCTAAGAGAGACAGCAAGCTCCCAAGAGTTGGCACTGGCCAGGTGCAGTGGCTCATGCCCATTATTCCAACACTTTGGAAGGCCAAAGCTGGAAGACTGGTTGAGCCTGGGAGTTCAAGACTAGCCTGGGTAACATATTAAGACCCTGTCTCTACAAAAAATACCGAAATTAGTTGGGCATGGTGGTGCACGCCAGTAGTACCAGTTACTTGGGAGGCTGAGGCGGGAGGATTGCTTGAGCCCATGAGGTTGAGACTGCAGTGAGCTGTGAGTGCACTCGTGTACTGAGTGACAGAGCAAGACCCTATCTAAAAAACAAACAAAACAACAAAAAATGCCAGGTGCAGAGTCTCATGCGTGTAATCCCAGCACTTCAGGAGGCCGAGACAGGTGTATCATCTGAAGTCAGAAGTTCTAGACCAGCCTGACCATCATGGTGAAACCCTATCTCTACTAAAAATACAAAAAAAAAAAAAAAAAAGCCAGACACGGTGGCACATGCCTGTAGTCCCGGCTACTCAGGAGGCTGAGGTGAGAGAATCACTTGAACCCAGGATGTGAAAGTTGTAGTGAGCCGAGATTGTGCCACTGCACTCCAGCCTGGGCTGCAGAGCGAGACTCCATCTAAAAAAGAAATGCTCTATAAATGTCTATTGAACGAGTGAATGAATGCATTAATGAATGGATGGGTGCTCTCTCTGATTCTGAGCTTGCCATGACAAGCCTGGAGAGAAGAGATCTAGCCTACACTCTCCTTTTAATGGATTCCCCTTCGTTATAGGGTTCCCCCAAAGAGACAGTTACTATTCAATGTATAACCTTATACTGTTCTGCCGAACTGATCTGCTTACACTGTTCAATGCCAGATGTTGAGGCATGCAGGGCCTATGGGCACTGGGGAATTCAAAGGCAATCTTCAGTCACCAACAAAATAGGGCCTACTACTTATGTGGTAATGCTTGTACACCGACTTTGTCACGTCCTTATGATAAATTTGGACCAAGGTCGTTGGTCTAAGACAGGGCTCAGTCTGCCCACAAACTGCATGGGCCTTTCCCCAGGCCAGATTCCTTGAGTCAGTTTATGTCCCCATGTTCCTGCATTCTTCGCCTAAGAGCGAAACTACCCGTCATTAATGGGAATGGGTGATTTTCTGCTTGCTTTTGAACTCTATTTCATAAGCGGACCGTTTCCTGACATTCTCAAGGACATGACATAACAGTTTCCCATCTGTGAGTTATCTTATATTTTTAAGTGGCAGACCTGTGTTTCAAGCCAGGATGTCCTGACAGGAAACCTGAGTAATATTTTGCTCTTTCTTCCTGCTGGTGTGTTTTGGGTGGATGTGTAGGAGACACAAATGTGCGGTAGCTTCTTCTGCTTCTAACAGTCTGTGGTGTTCATTATCTTCTGGTTAGGGTTTTCCTTTGAGAATAAGCCAGCAAAGAATGAATGTCGAGGTATGGTTCCTGGTGATGCTATGCGTGTGTAATGGGAGTGAGCATGCTCTCTCCACGGAGCCTTCTGCTCCGTGTGCCCAGTGAATTGAACAATACTCGAAGACGTATTCTGGCCCAGCATCATCTGGGGAGTATATGATATGGTTCTAGTCACCTGAATCCCGGCCAAGCTCAGTGTCCCTGAAAATGACTTGCTTTTAGACTTGCATTTGATTTAAGCAAAATCTTTTACTGAACACACCTGGCAGACATCTCAGATTTCCTGCACATTAACTGAGGAATTCTAGCAAATGAAAGCTGAAAGCTATGATACTGTTACGACAAAATTAACACCCTGAAAGGCTAATGAATCTTATATGGATTATATTACTTAGAGTTTGAACTTGGACATTATCTTTGTAATATAAAAGCTATGTCCCCAAAACTTTAAAAAAGAGAGAAGAGAAACCCATTCCCATAAATCATATTTCTGACACATAGCTCACCATGAAAATGTCCATAACACAGTGATATAATTGATACCTTGCAAATAGATTAAAAAAAAAATTAGGCCAGGCACATTGATGACCCAAAGGTATCCTAACACGGCTGTTAGAGATTTGGGCAGGGGCTGAGTCTCAGTGTTTGGTTTCTATCCCTAGCGCAGGGCCTCTGACAGCGATGGATACATATTAGGTGTCAATTAACAGTCACTGAATTACTGAATGGAAATTTACTGGGTCTCACTGCACCACTAGACTCCACACACAAATAGACCTGCCCCATGGGATTCTTCACAAGAGCAAATATTTTATGAGAGCTGTCACTCCTAGTTGATTGGATGGACAAAGTGAAACCACAGGATTGGATTTTAAAAGCAAATAGATTTACTCTGCTAAATTTTACAACTGGGTTCTTCTGCTCTGAGTGGAGTGTTGGACAAAATAACTTCAGATTTGAGGTTTGTCAGTTCTATGAAAACACAGGTTTTTTGTTTTGCTTTTTTAAGACAGATGAACCCAGCAGGCAAGCTGGCAGGAAGTCTGACTGCAGTACTTGCCTGAGAGGATGACACAGGCCAAACTAGAGAAGGAAAACAACAAGGCAGCCAGAGCTCATAAAGCACTTTGAAAAGTAGTTACAGAGCTTTCCAGGTTTTTCTGGAAAAAGGAAGAAAAGGAGAGTAAAGGGCAGGAAGAGCATTGGTTAACAACTGGCTTCAGAAATGCTGACGAGTGGATTTGACTGTTGGTTTTGTTTTTCTGAGTCAGGGATAAGGAAAGGGTATACATTGGGCTGGTGCTGCCTGCTGGCGGGGCCACCTTCCCCAGGCTGTACTGAAGCCATCCTTAGAGCTGCCAGGGCATCCTGAGGCCTGCTGCCCTGTGGAACTCATTGGAAAGGTGGACAGACTGCCCTCCAAAGATGTCTAAGGTGCATGGTACAGTGGAAGGAAGGGACAGCAGTTTTAATTTCATGTTGCTTTAAAAATGTTTATATGTGGCCAGGCATGGCGGCTTACACCTGTAATCCCAGCACTTTGGGAAGCTGAGGTAGGCAGATCACAACATCAAAAGATGGAGACCATCCTGGCCAACACGGCAAAACCCCGTCTTTACTAAAAATACAAACATTAGCTGGGTGTGGTGACGAGCACCTGTAATCCCAGATACTCGGGAGACTGAGGCAGGAGAATCACTTGAACCTGGGAGGCAGAGGTTGCAGTAAGCTGAGAGCATGTACTGCATTACAGCCTTGGCGACAGAGCAAGACTCGGTCTCATAAAAACAAAGAAAAATTTATATGTATTTGCTTTCTTGAACAGGTAATTTATGTATATGAGTCAAAACTAAAAAAATGAAAAGATGGCTGGGCACAGTGGCGTGTGCATGTAGTCCCAGCTACTCAGGAGGCTGAGGCTGGAGGATCGCTTGAGTCCAGGAGTTCTGGATTATAGTGTGCTATGCTGATCGGGTGTCTGCACTAAGTTCAGCATCAATATGGTGACCTCCCAGGAGTAGGGGACCACCACGTTGCCTAAGGAGGGATGAACTCGCCCAGTCGGAAACGGAGCAAGTCAAAACTCCTGTGCTGATCAGTAGTGGGATTGCGCCTGGGAATAGCCTCTGTACTCCAGCCTGGGCAACATAGCGAGACCCTATGTCTCTAAAAAAAGAGAGAAATTAAAAGATTAAAAGATGTTTATCTCTCCTGTCCCTGTCCACAAATGCCCAGTTCCCCCACTCTAAATAAATAACCCTGTTACTAGGTTTGTGTTTATCCTTCTAACATTTTTTGTGCACATATAAGCTAAAACAAATCTATGCCGTTCTTTACCCCTTTTTAATATAAATGGTGCCAGTCGGTACACATATTCTACACATTTGTTGGGTTCCCCCTCTTTAACACTCTATCTCGGAGACATTTCCTTATTGGTATATGAGAGTATTCTCATTTTTATCTATCTTTGTGGCTGCAGAGTATTACATTGTGTGGACATACGATAATTTAAGTGATTCCCACCAAGGGATGTTTAGGTTGTTTCCAGTCTTTTGGCATTACAAATAAAGATATGGACTTTAGAGAAGTGCTTTCAAACCCCAGTCCTGATGCCTACTAGATGATTGACAATGGGTTTTAATTGCCTACTCTGTAAATAGGATTTTTTTTTTCAGAGTTTTGCTCTTGTTGCCCAGACTGGAGTGCAGTGGTGAGATTTCAGCTTACCACAACCTCTGCCTCCCAGGTTCAAGCAACTCTTCTGCCTCAGCCTTCCATAGCTGGGATTGCAGGCATGCACCACCATGCCCGGCTAATTTTGTATTTTTAGTAGAGACGGGGTTTCTCCATGTTGGTCAGGCTGGTCTCGAACTGCCAACCTCAGGTGATCCACACACCCTGGCCTCCCAAAGTGCTGGGATTACAGTCGTGAGCCACTGTACCCAGCCAGGAATTATTTTCTATTTATTTCACCTGTCCCTTAATGTTGCTGTGAAAGACTTATATAATATACAAAGAACTTGAGAAATTCTAGGTCCTCGGTAAAAATAATGTACCTTGCAATAAAGCATATTCAAATTTGTTCTTAAAAAATAAAATACTGGCCGGGCGCGGTGGCTCAAGCCTGTAATCCCAGCACTTTGGGAGGCCGAGGCAGGTGGATCACGAGGTCAGGAGATCGAGACCATCCTGGTCAACATAGTGAAACCCGTCTCTACTAAAAATACAAAAAATTAGCTGAGCATAGTGGCGCATGCCTGTAATCCCAGCTACTCAGGAGGCTGAGGCAGGAGAATCACCTGAACCCAGGAGGCGGAGGTTGTGGTGAGCCGAGATCACGCCATTGCACTCCAGCCGGGGTAACAAGAATGAAACTCCGTCTCAAAAAAATAAATAAATAAAATATAAATATAAATAAATAAATAAATAAAATAAAATGCTGACCAGGAGCCCTGGCTCATGCCTGTAATCCCTATGCTTTGGGAGACCAAGGTCTCAAGAAGGACCACCTGAGACCAGGAATTCAAGACCAGACTGAGCAACACAGAACAAGACCCTACCTCTACAAAAGTAAAAATAAAAAAATTAGCCACGCATGGTGGCACATGCCTATACTCCCAGCTGCTTGGGAGGCTGAGGCAGGAGGATCTCTTGAGCCCACAGCTGCACTCCAGCCTGGGTAACTGAGCAAGACCCTGGCTGTAAACATTTTTTTTTTTAAACACTCTTGCTCCGTCTCCTAGGCTGGAGTGCAGTGGTGCAATCTTGGCTCACTGCAACCTCCACCCCACCCCCACCAGGTTCAATTGATTCTCCTGCCTCAGCCTTCTTTCCGAGTAGCTGGGATTATAGGCATGTACCACCACACCTGGCTAATTTTTGTATTTTTAGTAGAGGCAGGATTTCACCATGTTGGCAAGGCTGGTCTGGCACCATTGCATTCCAGCCTGGGCAAGAGTGAAACTCTGTCTCAAAAAAAAAAATCTTGGTCATGTTAATATATTTTTTTTTTTCGAAAGAACTTTAGAATAATTTTGTCAAATTCTAGAAAAATGGAATTGGAAGGGGAAATTGAATTGTATTTAATTTCCACACCTGTTTGGGGACATATTTGTTTCATATGGCTGATGTAACAATTACCACAAACCTGGTGGCTTAAAACAACACAAATTTCTTCTCTCACTTCTCAAGGCCAAAAGTCTGAAATCAGTGTCACTGAACTGAAATCCAGGTGTCAGCAGGAGTGTGCACCCTGTGGAGAGTTTTGGGCAGAACGTGCTCGTTGCATCTTTGTTTCTGGTGGTTGCTAGCATGCAGTACTTGACTGACAGCTGCATCGCTCCAGTCTCAGTGGTCACATTGCTGTCACAGGGATCCCCACTATGTCACCTCACCTCAGAGCTTAACCTGACTGGTCCTCTTCCTTGCCTGGCTCAAGGCTTGGGTTAGTAACACAGAGTGGATCAGCTCTCTGGGGCATACTCATTAACCCAGCTCTCAGACACTGCTGCGTGTGCAAAGATAATATTTTGATCTCCTAGTCTATGTTTTGTTTTGTTTTAATCTCAGTGTTTCCTGTTACCTTGTGACCCTCCCTCCCCTTTGGGATGGCTGGACCATGAGGCATTTTTTGGCTCCAGGCACCACTGTGGAGCAGAAGGCAAAGAACAGAAGACTAAGGACTTAGATCAGTCAGAATTAGTCTCAGGCCAGGCGCTGTGGCTCACACCTGTAATCCCAGCACTTCTGGAGCCTGAGGCAGGCAGATCACCTGAGGTCAGGAGTTTGAGACCAGCCTGGTCAACATGATGAAACCTACTAAAAATACAAAAAAATTAGCTGGGCATGGTGGCATGTGTGCCTGTAATCCCAGCTACTCGGGAGACTGAGGCAGGAGAATCGCTTAAACCTGGGAGGCGGAGCTTGAAGTGAGCCAAGATTGTGCCATTGCACTCCAGCCTAGACAACAAGAAGGAAAACTACATCTCAAAAAAAGAAAAAAGCATTAGTCTCTTCACCCGACTCCCCATCAAGTTTTCCCAGACTGGAAAATGCATGCTGTCTTGCCGCAGCGTCCTGGGCATCTGTGAGGCCCTGCACCTACCTCTGAAGTATCTCCACGTCCAAGGGAGAACAACAATAAATAGCAAATAAAAATATCATGACAGGTTGAGACAGACACTGCAGAAAAAAGGAAAGAGCTTTTTTCCTCCTTTTATTAGAAAGGGGCCCATATTTTCATTTTCTCCTGGGCCCTGAAAATTATGTAGCCAATCCTACTGGCAGATAAAACGTTCCTGAAGGAGTTAGCCAGAAGTCTAAGAATATTCTGGGGGTGTTATGGCTTAAGTATGTCAGCCCTGTCCAAATGTAGAACAATGCTGGGGGCTATTTCAAGCCACGTGAAATGTCAACACCTGTGGTAAAGCACTATTAGCAAAGCTAAGGTGCAGAGTCTGCACACATGACAAGGAAAAAGTCAACGTGCTAGGAGAGATTTATTGGCTGTTCAGCTTTATCTGGAAGAGGAAAATGGTGGGCAGAAAAGGCTGTCTGGCTAGTTCCTCCTTGAAGCAAGAACTCAGCTCGTTTCTCCAGATAGTCTGTGGTCAGATCTAGCAATGAAAATTTCAGGAAATATTGATTTAAAAAGAGAAGAGATCTTCCCACATCTCCTTCAGTATTGGGTGCCACCAAATTCTGGCTGTTGACCTGTTACTCAACAATAACAACAACAAAACAATGTCTTTTGTTTATTATTATTTCTGATTCCAAGGAGAGTTAAACTTATTTAAAGTGGGTCTTGCTTTAAAAAAAAATTACTCCAGATGTTTGTTTCTTTTGAATTTTCCACTGGTATTCATTTTCTTATTTATTTGCAAGCACTTCCTACATAGCAAGAATAACAACATTTTGTTTTCATATGTGTTACAAATAGGTTTTCCTGGTTCATCTATTGTTTTTTAACCTTGCGCATTTGGAATATCTCCAAGCCACATCATCTGATGGGAATGGAGATCATCCTAACAGTGATACTGCAGTGTCATAATTCAGTAACCACCAAATTTACTGCTAATAATCACCCACATTTACTGAGCATGTACTGTATGCTTCGTGTGCCATTAATCCACAAAATTACCCTATGAAGTAGGTACTATTTTTAGTTTCATTTAATAGATGAAGAAACAGAAATAGGAAAAGCTAAGTAATGTGCCTAGTCACACAGCCTAGTAAGGGATGGAATGTGGGGCTTGACCCCAGCCCTGTCTGACTCCTAAGTCCAGGTTCCAACCCTGCACTGTCCAGTAAAGTGGCTGTACGTAGCTAGAGAGCACTTGAAATGTAGCCAGCCTGATTTCAGAGACCAAGTGTAAAAAAAAAGAATGTGAAATGCCTCATTATTACTATTTTTTTTTTTATAAGGTCTTGCTTTGTCTCTCAGGCTGGAGAAAGTAGCATGAACACAGCTTGCTGCAGTCTCAACTATCTGGGCTCAAGCGGTGTTCCCACCTCAGCCTCCTGAGTAGCTGGAACCACAGGTGTGTGCCACCATGTCCAGCCTTTCATTATTAGTTTAAAAATTGGCCAGGTGCAGTGGCTCACGCCTTTAATCTCAGCACTTTGGGAGGCTGAGGCAGGCAGATCACCTGAGGTCAGGAGTTTGAGACCAACCTGACCAACATGGAGAAATCCTGTCTCTACTAAAAATACAAAAATTACCCAGGCATGGTGGTGTGCCTGTAATCCCAGCGACTCAGGAGGCTGAGGCAGGAGAATCACTTGAACCCAGGAGGTGGAGGTTGCAGTGAGCCAAGATCCTGCCTCTACACTCCAGCCTGGGCAACAGAGCAAGACTCCGTCTCAAAAAAAAAAAAAAAAATGTGGCTACTGAAAAATTTTTAACATGATTCCCTTTATATTTCTATTGACAATATCTTCTATCCACTTTCCTACATAATCACCCTTCACTTGGGTGAAGACAGATTGTGTGATCGCCTGAGTCTTCTCCAGTTATATCACAGTGCTTGCTCCTTTTAAATCTGTTGATAGAATGTTGTCTGCAGGTATGGCTGCTGTTCTCTTTTCCCTGTCTTTACTTCCTTCACAATCGGCTGCCATCCAAGGAGACAAGGAAGCCTAGAGCTCTCAGGAGCAGTCCTTTGAGCTAGTGTAGAGGCACTCAAAATGGTCTGGCATTTGACATAATGACGTAGGCTTTCCTACAATATTGCCTGTAACAAAACTAGGCTGTCCCAAACCTCTGGTAATAGAATTGTTTACCTTTATACCAAGAAGGTTGGGAAAGCATCAAAATCTGCATGTGGCCTGTGCCGAGGCAGACTTTGAGGGGTTTGTGCTATAAGGCCTAAAGTTCTTATGAGGTTGTCCAAAACAAAGAAACATGTCAGCAGGGCCTATGGTGGTTCCATGTGTGCTAAATGTGTTCGTGACAGGATCGAGCATGCTTTCCTTATCGAGGAGCAGAAAATCGTTGTGAAAGTATTGAAGTTGAAAGCACAGAGTCAGAAAGCTAAATTAAAAAATGAAACTTTTTTGAGTAATAAATCTGTTGATAAACTGAAACCTTGTTTTCTGGTTTTGGTTGTCTTACATGAATTGAAATCATTTCAGGATCTCACTGGCTTGAACATGCTCAGTTCCGTCCACTCTTCCTCACAGATGATTTCTCATAGGACCAAATTTTGTCTTCCTTGTTGTCCACATCTCAATATTCTCCAGGTTATGGCTATCTTTTTTTTTATTTTTTGAGGTGGAGTCTTGCTCTATCGCCAGGATAGAGTGCAGTGGCGAGATCTCAGCTTACTGCAACCTCTGCCTCCTGGGGTCAAGCAATTCTTGAGCCTCAGCCTCCCAAGTAGGTGGTATTACATGTGTGTGCCACTATACCCAGCTAATTTTTATATTTTTAGTAGAAATGGGGTTTCACCATGTTGGTCAGGATGATCTCGCTCTCCTGACCTTGTGATCCACAAACCTCAGCCTCCCAAAGTGTTGGGATTATAGACATGAGCCACCAGGCCCGGCCGATTATGGCTATCTCTATCTCTCTTGCCCTCCAAGATGAGACCACAGGTAGGGCACAGTGGCTTATGCCTGTAATCCCACCACTTTGAGAGGCCAAGGCAAGCAGATTGCTTGAGCCCAGAAGTTGGAGACCAGCCTGGGCAATGAAGTGAGACCCCTTCTCTACCAAAAACAAAGAAAAATAAATTAAAAAAAAAAAGGGTGACACAATCCTCCAGAGAGCCATTGCAGATGTCCCAGAAAAGTGATGCTCCTAAGTTCATAAGGACAGAAAATAGAATGGTGGTTGCCAGGAGGTGGATAGATTAAATGAGGGAGTTGTTTCATGGGTACAGAGTTTCAGTTTAGGATGATGGAAGAGTTCTAGAGATGGATGATGATGGTGATTGCACAACCATATGATATTTAGTGCCACTAAACTATACTTAATTGGTTAAAATAGGAAGTTTTGCCAGGCGTGGTTACTTACACCTGTAATCCCAGCACTTTGGGAGGCCGAGGTAGGTAGATCACGAGGTCAGGAGTTTCAGACCAGCCTGGCCAAGACGGTGAAATCCCGTCTCTACTAAAGATACAAAAATTAGTTGGGTATGGTGGTGGTTGCCTATAGTCCCAGCTACTCAGGAGGCTGAGGTAGGAGAATCGCTTGAAACCGGAAGGTGGAGGCTACACTGAGCGGAGATCACGCTACTGCACTCCAGCCTGGGTGAAAGAGCGAAATTCCCAGAAAAAAAAAAAAGGAAGTTTTATGTTGTATACATTTTACCACAAATACAATAAAAGAAATTCTCGGCTGGGTGTTGTGGCTCATGCCTGTAATCCCAGCACTTTGGGAGGCCGAGGTGGGTGGCTCAGGAGGTCAGGAGTTCAAGACCAGCCTGCCCAAGATGGTGAAACCCGTGTCTAATAAAAATACAAAAATTAGGCCGGTGCGGTGGCTCAAGCCTGTAATCTCAGCACTTTGGGAGGACGAGGTGGGTGGATCACGAGGTCAAGAGATCGAGACCATCCTGGTCAACATAGTGAAACCCTATCTCTACTAAAACTACAAAAAATTAGCTGGGCATGGTGGTTCGTGCCTGTAGTCCCAGCAACTTGGGAGGCTGAGGCAGGAGAATTGCCTGAACCCAGCAGGCGGAGGTTGCGGTGAGCCGAGAACACCCCATTGCACTCCAGCCTGGGTAACAAGCGAAACTCCGTCTCAAAAAAAAAAAAATTAGCCTGGCTGGTGGCAGGCGCTTGTAATCCCGGGAGGCTGAGACAGGAGAATCGCTTGCACCCAGGAGGCGGAGGTTGCAGTGAGCCGAGATTGTGCCACTGCACTCCAGCCTGAGTGACAGAGCAGGCTCCATCTCAAAAAAAAAAAAAAAAAAAGGAAAGAAATGAAGTTCTCATACATACTGCAGCTGGAATGAAGCTTGAAAAGATTATGCTAAGCGGTGGGCATGGTGGCTCAAGGCTTATAATTACACCACTTTGGAAGACTGAGAGGGTAGGATGGTTCGACTTCAGGAGTTGGAGACCATCCTGGGCAACGTGGCAAAACCTCGTCTCTATGAAAAATACAAAAATTAGCCAGGCATGGTGGCCTCTGCCTGTAGCCCCAGCTATTCAGGAGTCTGAAGTAGGAAGATCGCTTGGAACCGGGAGGTGGATGTTGCAGTGAGCCGAGATGGCGCCACTGCGCTCTAGCCTGGGCAACGGAGCGGGACCCTGTCTCAATTAAAGGAAAGAAGAAAATAAAAAACATTATACTAAACAAAATAAGCCTGACACAAAAGGACGAATATTATATGATTCCGCTTATACAAAATACCTAGACTAGGTAAATTCATTAGAAAGTGTATCAGAGGTTGGGGAGGATGTTGAGGGGAGGGGTAAAGAAAAGAAAATCAAGGAGTGGGAAGCAAATGACCGGGGGATAGAAGGGCAGTGGTCGGCCGCTTGAGTGCGTGGGTGTCAGGGGCAGACGGGACAGACGATTCAGGTCCTGCGCGCAGGGGCCCCTGCGCTCCCGTTGGGCGCAGCTGTCTTTAGGGCAGCGGCAGCGTGGCAGGCGCGAGGGGCGCCCGGACCTGTCTCCTCCACCCTTCGCCCGCCGCAACCGCTGCAGGCTCCAGCCTGTCCCTATCTCACACTCTTTATTTAACAAAGAGCGGAGAGACTAGAAGTGACCCCGAGCAGCGTGGATGCGGGTAGGGCCGCCGGGGCGTCCCACGGGCGTCATCCTAGCCTCGTGAGCGCGGAGCCCGGGCACGGGGGCGGGGAGGGGGTTTTGGTGTGCTTATGAGAACTTGCTCCGTTTTCTCTGTAAGTACTAAGGGTTCCCTCGCCGCCCTCTTCCTCATTTTCCACCATCCCAGTTTACACAAGCATACGTATTTACTTCCGTAATTTCCCCATGCCCATGTAACATCACACACATACACACGCGCGTGCGTTTGCTTTTGTTTTCCAAAATGGCATCTTCTAGTAGGCGCCTCTCTTTATGTTGCTTTTCTAGTACACTGTGGAACCCCAAATCCCAGCTGGGATTCACTCTTCTCTAATGGCTGAACATTCATCCGGGGCATGAAGGCAGCGCGGTTCATTTCATCATTCCTTTGTTTCCTCTGTTTTGCCACTAGAAACTGCCGCGATGAATGTCAGTCCCCAGAGCCGGAACAATTCCCGGTTTTCTCCACTTGGGTCTGAGAACCTCTGTCCCTCTAGAGCTGCGAGCACTTTGCCAGGGTGACGGGCGGAAATGTCCCTCATCTGTGCCTGCTTTCCCAGACCCTCCAGCAGACCCCTCTACAGCCCCAGCTTTCTCCTAGCCACTTCCCCCCAGCGACCGCAGAAGGCGCTTCCTCCCCCGCAGCGCGAGCCCAAGCTCCTCCAACGCCCCAGCTCTCCCCGCCCCCCTTCCGACCTTGTTTCATCTGACCCCTCCCCCGCACATACTCAATTTCATCTTCCCAAGGCGCCCACTCTCCACATTCTGAGGAAAAAAGAGCCGGCTGCTGTCCTATGTTTGTCATGCTGCTTTCCTCCTGTACACTACACAACTTGAACAACATTTTTTTTTCTTTATTTGAAACAGGCTCTCGCACTGTCGCCCAGGCTGGAGTACAGTGGCACGATGATGGCTTACTGCAGCCTTGACCTCTCTGGGCTCAGATGATCCTCCTGTCTCAGCTTCCCAAGAAGCGTGCCACCACTATCGGCCAATTTTAATTTTTTCTTTTTTTAACCACAGGGGCTCACTATGTTGCCCAGGCTGGTTTTGAACCCTAGGCCCAAGGGATCCTCCTGCCTCAGCCTCCCAAAGTGCTGGGATTACAGGCGTGAGCCATCGCGTCCCACAGTAAATATTATTTCAAGGAAATGGCACCTGAGTTTGAGATTAATCAGGTTTACTGCAGGGAAGGAGCATTGGCCCGAGTTAGAACCCGACTCTGCCCTTTCCCTGCCTGCTTCTGCCTTCAGCAAATTGTTCCACACATCTCTGGTTTCCTCCCGAGATGATCCCAAGGCCCTGCTGGCTCTAGCCTTGGTGAGGCTAGAATTACAATTCCAGTCCTCCCCAGCCACGCCCCATCTCTTGCTCCCAGTGCTGGCACTTTCCCCAGTCAGCCACACTTTCCTTTCCCATTCACTGAGCCTGTGGAAAGCTCTCCCTCTTATTCTGAATATCTAGAGCCTATTCACCTTTGAAGACCTGACTTGGCCACGTTTCTTCCCAAAGCTTACAGCATGCCCTCTGTGGAAGGAAACGCTCTGTCCTTGCAAAGCCATTGTCTGTAGCACTTTCACTGTATCTTACTAATAACATCACCCCCTCTGCCTGGGGAGCTGTTCCAAACCTGCCCTTCTCCCATTGCCATCTACGTGTCTGGCAAGGCCCCACCATAGTACTTTGCCCATGTTAAAGGATACAGTTTTGGGAGTCCTAAGACCGGGGTCCACATCCCAGTTCTGACACTAAATGTGTTACCTTGAACATGTCACATAGCCTCTCTGAGCCTTAATTTCCCCAAATGTAAAATGCAAATAATAACCTATTTCATAGAGTTACTGTGTTGATTAGATGAGACAATATATAAGAAAATGCTTTGTGAACGGTAAAGCTAACAGACATAAATAATAATAGTAAAGACAGATATTACTCAGATGTTGGCAAGAGGGATTTCCTTTCTAAAACAGAATTGAATTTTTTTTTCTTTGAGATGGAGTCTGGCTCTGTTGCCATGCTGGAGTACAGTGGCGCAATCTCAGCTCACTGCAACCTCCACCTCCTGAGTTCAAATGACTCTCCTGCCTCAGCCTCCCAAGTAGTTGGTACTACAGGCATGCACCACCACGCCTGGCTAATGTTTGTATTTTTAGTCGAGATGGGGTTTCACCACGTTGCCCAGGATGGTCTTGATCTGTTGACCTCATGATCCACCCACCTTGGCCTCCCAAAGTGCTGGGATTACAGGCCTGAGCCACTGTGCCCAGCCCTAAAACAGAATTAAAAAAAAAAAAAAAGAAAAGAAAAAGAAGACATGGTGGTTCACCTCTATAATCCCAACACTTAGGGAGGCCAAGCAAGAGGATTGCTTGAGCCCAGTTCAAAATCAGCCTAGGCAATATAGCAAGACTTCCATCTCTACAAAAATAAGCAAATTAGCCTGAAATCGTGGCATGTGCTGTTAAACCTGGCTGTTTGGAAACTTGAGGCATGAAGATTGCTTGAGCCCAGGAACTTGAGGTTATAGTAGACTATAATCATCGCACTGCACTACAGCCTGGGTGACAGAGCGGGACCCTGTCTCTTAGGAAAAAAAAGTGGGAAAACTGTGGAAAATGAAAAAGACTTCTTGGTTGCTCATTTCAAAATTTGGGGAATGATTTCTAATTATTTCTTTGAGATCAGTTACCAGGTGATGTTAAGTATACTATAATAGTAAAAGCTAGAAATAATCTATCTTTTGAACAGTTGGAGAATGATAAAGTTATGGTTAATGGGAATAATATATTGTCATCAAAGTTAAATTTCTGAAGAATCTTTAAAGACATGGGAAACCAGTCATAATATAACATGAAAACTAAAAAAGCAATGTACTAAATAGTGTTTGTAAAGAGCGGGTGTAAGAAGAGAATTTTCTCATCACTCTTCACAGCTTTCTGTTTGGCCCCTGAGTGGGGTGTCTGATGCCAGAGAACTTGGGACATATTCTAGAGCCTTAGTCTTACACAAATAGCTCACTCCCTGCCTCCCAAGAGACAGGGATTCAGAAAAGGTGAACCAGGAGCCTAGAGCCTCAGAGGAGGCCAAGGACTGTCCCAGATCCAGACCCTGATTCTGTGGCCCAATGGCCTGACTATCTAGGGTCCTCTCTCTACCACTTATTCCAGCTGGACTGTGGACCTCAAACACAGCCTCTCACTTCCTGCTTTGAGACAGATCCCAGAGTAGGTTTTTAGGAAAGACCTCCTCGAAAAAACAGGCTCCAAGTACCAACACTAGAGAGCCAAGCTCTAGTTGGGTGCAGTGGCTCACGCCTAACCCCAGCACTTTGGGAGGCCAAGGCGGGCAGACCACTTGAGGTCAGGAGTTCAGCACCAGCCTGGCCAACGTGGCAAAACCCTGTCTCTACTAAAAATACAAAAATTAGCTAGACATGGTGGCACATGCCTTTAATCCCAGCTACACGAGAGGCTGAGGAAGGAGAATCACTTGAACCTGGGAGGTAGAGGTTGCAGTGAGCTGAGATCATGTCATTGCACTCCAGCCTGGGCAACAAGGGTGAAACTCTGACTCAGAAAAAAGAAAAGAAAAGAAATACCATGAACTGTCTGCAAAGAATCTGGTTCACGTGGGGTGAAGTGGGCCCAATTGTTCTCTTTTTTTTTTTGAGATGGAGTCTTGCCCTGTCACCCAGGCTGGGGTACAATGGTGCAAACTTGGCTCACTGCAACCTATGCCTTATGTGTTGAAATTATTCTCCTGCCTCAGTCTCCCAACTGGCTGGGATTACAGGTGCGCACCACTATGCCCAGCAAATTTTTGTATTTTTAGTAGAGACAGGGTTTCACTGTGTCGAATCCCCTACCCCAAGTGATCCACCCACCTTGGCCTCCCAAAGGGCTGGGATTACAGGCATTAGCCACCATGCCCAGCCTGTTCTCTCACTCATACACACACGCGCGCACACACACACACACACACACACACACACAATCTCACCCCATCCATTAGCAAATTCTATGTCTACCTTCAAAATAGATCCAGGATCTGAACACTTCTCACTGTTTCCTCTGCCATCATCCTGATCCAAATCACTGCCTCCTACCTGGGTTATTGCAGTAGCCTCCTAACTGATGTCCAACTTCTGTCTTCAGCCCCCACACCTGTCCCCTAAGCCTGTCCCTCCACATTGCACTCTCTAGAGTGATCCTTTAAAAACCTAAATCAAGGCCAGGCACAGTGGCTCATGCCTGTAATCTCAGCACTTCTGGAGGCCAAGGCAGATGGATCACTTGAGATTAGCCTGGCCAATATGGTGAATCCCCATCTCTATTAAAACTATAAAAATTAGCTGGGCGTGGTGGCATACACCTGTAATCCTAGCTGCTAGGAAGGCTGAGGCAGGAGAATCCCTTGCACTTGGGAGGTGGAGGTTTCAGCGAGCTGAGATTGTGCCACTGCACTCTAGCCTGGGCAACAAAGCAAGACTCTGTCTCACAAATACTAAGTAAATAAATAAACAAAAACCTAAGTCAGGACATGTCTCTTCCCTACTCAAAATCCTACCATGGCTACCCATCTCAGAGTAAATGACAAATCCTCAGAATGGCCACAAGGTCCCACATGACCCAACCCGGCTGCTTTACTGCCCTCGTCTCCTGCCAGTGTCACCTGTGCTCACCACACTCCAGCCACACTGGCCTCCTTGCTATGCTTCAAACGCAGCCAGCATGTGCTGCCTCTGGGCCTTTGCACTGGCCGTTCCCTCTACCTAGCCTCCCTTGGTAGTTCTCACCATTTCTTCAGATCTTTGCCAAATCTCAACTCATCAGAGGGATGAGTTGTCCTTCCCTGTCTATCCTAAATGAACCTGTGAAGTCCCCCCCACATAGTCCCTAGACCCTCTTGTCTGCTGTACTCTTCTCCAGAGCACTTTTATTTTTTTGAGACAGAGTCTTGCTCTATCGCCCAGTTTGGACTGCAGTGGCACAACCTCAGCTCACTGCAACCTCTGCTTCCTGGGTTCAAGCAGTTCTCTGTCTCAGCCTCCCCAGTAGCTGGGATTACAGGTGCCTACCACCATGCCTGGCTAATTTTTTGTATTCTAGTAGAGACAGGTTTTCACCATCTTGGCCGGGCTGGTCTTGAACTCCTGACCTGCACCCGGCCTCTGGGGCACATTTAACCAACACACTATGATGTCTTTTTTGTTAATCCCAGGCCCCGGATTTAGAGTCTCTCAAAGTATCTCTTGAAAATAGGTATGGCTGGGCACAGTGGCTCAAGCCTATAATCCCAGCACTTTGGGAGGCCAAGACGGCTGGATCACCTGAGGTTGCGAGTTTGAGACCAGCCTGACTAACATGGAAAAACCCTGTCCCTACTAAAAAGACAAAATTAGCGCCAAGTGATGGCACATGCCTGTTAATCCCAGCTACCTGGGAGGCTGAAGCAAGAGAATTGCTTGAACCTGGGAGGCGGAGGTTGTGGTAAGCCGAGATGGTGCCATTGCCCTCCAGCCTGGGCAACAAGAGCGAAACTCTGTCTCAAAGAAGAAACAACAAACAGAAAATAGCTCCTCGGCTTCCATCTCAAAACCTCTCTCTGCTGAGGTTCAACAGTCCCATTGTCTGCATCACCCTGCCCCCAACCCTGTATTCTCCAAACTCCTCCCTCCTGCCTTCAACGATCAGCTCAGGAAAATGAATTCTCAGAGGAGTTGTCAGGCTTCCAGCCCCTAAAATGGCCCAAATTCCAGCCCTAGGTTGGGGCCTTGCTAGTTAACTTATTGTTAATTAATTATATTTTGTACACAAAGACAGTCATAACATTCCCGTTGTTGGACAGCCAGGGTTTTTTTTTTCTCAAGTTTTTTACTATTGTTGACAACCTTGAACACACCCATGATTGTTTCCTCGAAATAAATTATTTGAAGAGGGATTATTAAGCCAAAGGGTACAATTTTCAAGGCTTCTGATGTGTATTGCCAGTTTATCTCCCAGTCTATCTAATTATACTCCCACCAGCAATGATACCTTTTAAAGTGTTACATCCTTGACAAAACTGGATATTTAAAAAAAGTAGAGAGTTTAAAAAAATTAGATCCTGTTTTAATTAACATTATTGGTGAAGCTTAACATCTTTTTGTTTTTATTTTTTTATTTAGTTTTGAGACCCAGTCTCACTCTGTTGCCCAGGCTGGAGTGCAGTGGTGCAATCTTGGCTCACTGCAACCTCTGCCTCAGGTTGAAGTGATTCTTGTGTCTCAGCCTCCCAAGTAGCTGGGATTACAGGCATGTGACACCACACTCCGCTAACTTTTGTATTTTTAGTAGAGACGGGATTTCACCATGTTGGCCAGGCTGGTCTAGAACTCCTTAACCTGGTTGATCGATGTGCCTCGGCTTCCCAAAGTGCTGGGATTACAGGCTTGAGCCACCGTGCCCGGCAAACATCTTTTTATCTGTTTCCCTTTTTCTCATGATTTGCCTTTGTCCCTTTTCTTCTACTGGGATATCAGACTTTTTCACCTCTTGATTTATAATCTTTATTTCAATGGTAAGAATTTGACACTTTGACATGTGGGTGCAGATGCTTTTTTCAGTTTTACACCTTTTAATTCTGTTATATGTTTTAACATAGAAAATTTAGAAATATTTTACAAAATCTAGTTTCAAAATCTTTTTCCTTGCAGCTTTTGGTTTCATGTTTCTGGGTGGTAAGTTTTTTGTTTGTTTTATTTTGTTTTTTTGAGGTGGAGTTTGACTCTTGTTGCCTAGGCTGGAGTGCGATGGCATGATCTCGGCTTACCGCAACCTCTGCCTCCTGGGTTCAGGCAAGTCTTCTGTCTCAGCCTCCCTAGTAACTGGAATTACAGGCTCTCACCACGACGCTGGCTAATTTTTGTATTTTTAGTAGAGATGGGGTCTCACTGTGTTGGCCAGGTTGGTCTCAAAACTCCTGACCTTGTGATCTGCCTGCTTCAGCCTCCCAAAGTGCTGGGATTACAAACGTGAGCCACCGGCGCTCAGCCTTATTTTTGAAAACTATTTTAAAATGTTTTATGAAACATTATTTACCATAACTACATGCTATAGTCTGATATTTCCTGCTTGACTACTTTTATCTTTTTTTTTTTTTTTTAAAGTGTTGGTCTTGACCCAGTAAATTGCTTTAACGACCTATCAATAGATTCTTGACTCAGAGTCTGAAAAACAGATCAGGACCATGGAGGCTGATTTTTCTCTTTGCCCAAATCTTACCTCCTTCCATGCCACTTTCACTTATTTCCCACTGCAGAGGGGTGATGGAGAGGTCAGACAATCATAAATCCATAGAGGAACACTGAAGACTTACAGGAGCACTCACGCTGAACTAAACTCTGATTGACGTCTAACAGGCAAGGGCAAAAACTCGTTTTGAATTTCAAGCCTGAGGTTTAGAATAAAGTTTCTTCTAATTCCATGGTCCTGAAATCCTCATCC